AAATATTAATACTTATTCATACTATTAAATCCTTGTAGAAATATTAACATCTACTCAGCTACTGTACCTGACAGGATACATCATTTGGATTTGGACTCCCGTTTCATAAGTCTTAATAATCCTAATATTCCTTATGTATATAATGATGCTCTTAAAATAGAATTAGTAAATATTACTATCGAAAAACTTCTTAATGACTCTGACTGTATTAGTACTTTGACTATATTTAAAAATAGATTATTTTCTGAAACAAAATTATAATTTTATACAGATGGTTCTCACTTTTTTGTTAATACTTCAGTTTCTTCTTACATTAGTTCTGCTTTTTTGTTAATTGATGATAACTTAGATATTAGTTACACTGCTGCTTTAACTCCAATTTGGGCCAACTCCACCAATACGGAAATTTACTAATACTGCTTATATGTTCTTTTAATTTTCAAATTACCATCAATACTGATAGTTTAAATCTCATTCTTACATATAATAGATTAATACATACAAACTCTTCCAGATATCTTTCTATTCTTCTCAAAACTCCTTTTTATCTCTTTTGGTGCTTTATACTTAGAATTATAGAACAAAACCAGCTTGTTCTTACTTTGGTTAAAGTCAAATCACATTCAGGGAATCCGTATAATGAAAAAGTGGATAGTTTAGTAAAATCAACCTTAATGCTACCTCCTTTAACACTCTCACTTAATCACATCCCCTACATTCCATTCATTCCTACTTTTCGTCATATATCTATTAATAGGGAAATCAGACCTTTTTTCAAAGACTACATCAATATAAATACTATCACTAATTTTCTCGGTCTCAAGAGGAACTCCACATATTCTGACCTGTATATTAATTGACTCTGCACCTTTCAACTTATCAACTATGAACCCTTGAATCAAACAACCTTCAAAGAATCATATTATCACAAACGAAATACCAACTCCTTTTGAAGCTTCTTCCTTCAATTAAACGTCTCAAAATTTCAAGACCTGACTTATATGATGATAGCTGGACTTGCTATAAATGTCTTACCGAAAAAGAAACATTCGATCACATATGGCTTTATTCAAGAAATCACTGTTTACTCAATCAAATAGTACTCAGTGTCTTTGTCAAACTCAAAGAGAACTATTCATTTATACATCCAAAACTGTATGATCTACCAAACTAAACGATTTGATGAATCCAACTTTTGACTACTGGATCCCTACCATTACTTCGTCAAAAAAAATTAATATTGTAGATATAATTAAAGGCATCGTTCCTAGCTATTTATACTTCTGCATCAACAATTTTACAAGACACAATAACAAAACTATGACCATCCTCTCTAAATTTTTCAAATACATACAAACTCAAGCAATTACATTAATTTGGATTCCTCAATGTGATTTGACTATTGAACTACAGCTTAGAATAACAAAAAAGAAAAAACTTTATACTAAAGCTTCCAAAAAATCTAACTCCGTAATATTATCTCTTCTCTTCAGCTCCTCTAACACATCTTTTTTATCTTCTAAATATACTAACTTATTTTATGATTCTTACATTCACAGTCGATCTTGGCCTCTTTTAAAGCAGTGAAAACTAGTTGTCTATTTCTCTTTTCGCTAGTCATGTAGTAACTTTTCTTCTTATAGTAGTTGTTTAGGAACATGACGGGACAACCAGTTGGTTTAGTCAGAGTTGATTAAACCCTTCGAAGAGGGTTAAGCAGCGTTTACTTTATTTTTCTACTTTTATACCCATTTTGGGAATTTTCTTTTTTTAATTGAATGTTGAATTTTAAATAAATAAATGCTTCACCGCATCTTAAAAAAAAAAAAGTAGTAAAATTGATTTGTATAATAAAAACTATTAATGTTATAGTTTATTTAATTTATTTAATTCATTTTATCTATTTATTTTATTTATTTTATTATATTTATTTTATCTATTTTATTCATTATCTTATTTTTCTTTATTTTCTTTATTTAAATTATTATAATGTTATATAGAATAGTTTTTATATAAATAGGAGTCATTTAGGACTAAGTATCAATAGATCATTTTAATTTTGTCTTATATTAGTTTTAGTAGTTTTAAATCCCTTAATAAATAAACTGTTTAGTACAGATACGCTGACAGAGATAGTACTATAATTTTGTTTGTTAATCATTTATTTTACGCGTATTATTATATTTTCTTTGCATTCATAAAATTATAATTAAGTTTTTTATCTTTTTTACAAAGGAAACCTTCTGCATACATAATCATAACGCTTATTTAAGTCGAGCATTTTAAAGAACTGGCGTAATAATATAAAAGTATTTTTGGTTTCTGACGCTTAGGAAAAAATGATAGATTTTTTTGTATTGATTCATAATGCTTTTACCTAATATATATACAATTAAGATATATTACAGAATTGTCAGGCAATTATATTATATCATTACATGTGATATTTTTTAAGATTTATGACAAGAACGTAATATATGCTTTATTTAAGAAATAAAAAAAACATTGCCAGAGCAACTAATATATAAAAAAATGCAAATCTATAGCTTTACATGATATAAATATAGATAAAAATTTTCTAACTGGTTGGGAATCACTTGATTTCGAATTAGACCCTTTTACAAGGTGAATCCTAATGCTTTTTTTCGATTATCTTGATTTATAAAATAAGACTATTAGGATAACGAGGACCTCATCAATAAAATACAGCTATAAGAAACATTTAATTACTTATATATAAAGATGGTTTCCATAATTATTTTTAAAATTTTTAACTAGTTGCAACTTAAGTTGCAATACTTTGAGTTGCAACTATTTATGAACTTTTATATTAAAATAAATTTACAAGGAGTTGCAACTAAGTTGTAACTTAAGTTGTAACTTACCGAGTTGCAACTTCTTAATTATGGTATCCATCTTTACTCATACAGTTCCTTAATGTAATCCTCAAGTTCTAATACCTGTCTTAATGTCATTCTGTATTCCTTTAAATCCCATCCTGTTAGCCTGAGAAATAAATTACCAGTAATATTTTTATCACAAAGCTTCATAAAAAAATTATCGTCAAGTTTTAAGCCTTCTAATTTTGAATCACTCCTCAAAAAGCTGATAAGACTTTCGGTTTTCCATAGTTTTATCATTTTGGCCTAGGAAGATATCTTGTTTTCCTAAATACAATGTCCCATAATGAGAAATTTTTATTCCTATATATACATAACTTCTGATATATATACACCTTATAAATTTTGCGGAAAGTTAGTGAACGGAAACTTTCACACACTGATACATGCTTTATATTCTGCTAAAAAAAGGAGATAAAAAAGTGATTAGTATTTTCGTCTGACGCCAAGAGTCCCTTGAAAGCACATGTAAAAGAAATCTTCATACTTTTTTACATGTAAATCTACCAGAAAGACATATAGTTAGCTTTACGCCTAGTGATCTCGGAATTATGAGTCCACCAGCCTTTCATAATATATGCTTTTGCTATCACTATTAACTTATAGGAAAGGTCCTGTATTGCAACTAGACTTCCTTTCACATTTTTCTCATATTTGTATGGGGAAAAATAAAGAATAAAGGTTAATATGTTTTCTTCTCAAATGTATATGCAAAATTAATATATCACACAAGAGGCTGACTGCTGATTCACTTATTTTTTGTCACACAATCTGTGGTCCAGCAAATTCTTCTGAGCTGATGATCACCGCTCTGGACTAGTCAGAGTATCTTAAGTGGAGAGGCATATTATTACTATAGAGAGTATAGACATGTTCATCCTTCGATTCAGTTTCAAAGTCTGTTTTAGAGTATTCTGAATCATAATACTCACTTAGATCAAGTTATCTATAGCTGTATAATGTTTGAAAAACTTGGTTATTATAACCTTCCTATCTGAATTAATTGTAGTGAAATTAGGGAATAATAATTCATAAAATATATATAACAAAGGAGACAGTATATTAATATTATTTCTTATGTAATAAAGTCTTTTCTCTTCGTTATTTTCCCAATATCTTGCATCTCGTTTATCAATTTTCTTTCCCAACCAAATTAGCCAATTATTACCTAAAACCAAATCATATTCAGGCTTATCAACAACTACGAAAGTTTTTGTATTTATTCTCAAATATGAAGGGTATTCTAACTCATCAAAGATATTTGGCAAAGTAACAGAAACTTTTTCCCTTTAAAGCCATCCTTTTATCATCACTTTCTTCTCAGCATTTGTTGCATCGATTCTGAGTCTTTGTACTGCAGAAAATCCAGATCCTCCTTTCTTAGAAATAAATAAATCCATTTTTTTGATAAGCGTCTTACTAATACTGCTATAGTAGGATTTAGGATCAATTATTACCGTAACAGTTACTTTATTATCAACAAATGTACAAGTTCACTATCAATCTTTTGCAAATTTCTCGAAGTGTCTCATCTTTTCATATATTATTTATAGTACAAAATTTCTTAAGAACCTGTATCGACAGATTTTTTAGAATAAATGGTATTAGTACTGGCATAAGCTGATCAAGTAAATTAACTGTATGCATTTTTATATGGTAAGAAGATTTTTTCAAAATCAGTAAAAAACATTCTGGTTATTTCGAATTTTCAGAAAACCTGTGAATTGTTTATGGGTTTTTGTCAAGAAATATTTTAATCTCATTCAAAAAAAAATATTTCACTAAACAGTTGGCTTATCTCCCGCAGTACCAAAGGTACAAGGGTGGAATTTATTTCTGAATTTCAGCTAATATTGCATCAATTTCAGCTAACATGAAATCCATTTCTATTGTCTGAGACTTTTGAGGATCAGGTTAGGGTAGTGTTCTACAAAAAATCTGATTCAATCTGAATCTAATTCAGATCTAACAGATCAGATTAAATCGGATTTATCAGATTCGAATCAGATTCAGATCTGGATTTTGATTTGATTTGATCCATCGGATCTGGATCGGTTTCAGATTTAGATTTGGATTCAGATCCAATTTGTTGGATTTGAAATAAAAAATGTCACCCTGAAGTCAGACACAGCATTTATTATTAAAAAAATTTAATTTTAATAATAAAATGCCACTTGAAAATCAGATATGGCATTTATTATTAAAAAATTAATTTTTATTAATTTTTAATAATAAAATGCCGTCCCAAAAGTCAGAGGCAATATTTATTAATAAAAAATTAATAAAAATTGATTTTTAATAACAAAATGCCATCCCGAAAGTTAGAGGCGGCATTTATTATTAAAAAATTTTATTTTTAATAATAAAATGCCGCCCGAAAGTCAGACATAGCATTTATTATTAAAAAAATTTAATTTTTATTAATTTTTAATAACAAAATGCCATCCCGAAAGTCGGACACAGTATTTATTATTAAAAAATTAATGTTTAATAATAAAATGCTGCCCCAAAAGTCAGACGCAGCATTTATTAATAAAAAAATTAATTTTTATTAATTTTTATATTAAAATACCACCCCAAAAGTCAGACGCAACATTTATTATTTTTTTTATTTTAAAGTGTGGTAGCTTCGCATGATCTTTATTTAAATGTAAGTAAAATATAAATAAAATACAAGACAAGAAAAGAAAATACAAAAACTTCTAAATATTCTAAAATAGTTAAAACAAATCAAAGTCAACCCTACACTGTTCTAGACTAATAACCCAATCAAGAGAAAAGAAAACTTAACCATTCAGATGGAAGAGCATGGTTGCTACCTATCTAAAAATTTGACCAGTCGTTACCATACCTAAAGGAAGAAATAAATGATGAGAGAATAAGTGAAGAAGTTAGGAAGGTGTGAGGAAAACCACTAGTGATCCAATTTTTCTTTTTGTGTTGTAAAGTAATATTAGCCAGTTTCTCTGCTTTAACAAAGAGTTCACATCTATTAGCCAAGATTTTTAAAACTGACGTGAAGATATGATGGTAGATGTGAGATATAAGGGACATGATAATTGAGTTGTTATTGGTAATAATTTGTGTCAGATTAAATAAGTACAATGGTACTATGCCTTTAATGAGATCTATGAAACAAAAGTCCATTGTATTATGATCAGGATTCCAAAATGAGGTTATCATTATTTGATGAATTATACTTTGTGAGTCAATTAAATTGTTGTTAAGTAGTGATAGATGGTTATATATTTTGTGTTTTGTGGAGGCAATAGTATCAATTACGGTTTTCATTGAAAATTGGCAAATCCAAATGTGATTAAAATCTTCAAATTCGAGTTGATATTTATACTAAGTCCAGTTTTATTTGTATAGTTATGGGCTTCTTTTTTAGAACCTCTAAGGACGGAAGCATTTCTAACATGAATTTAATTTTCTGTTTTTTAGTGAAAGAGGCTTAAAAGGATGTAGCAGATTTAGCTTCGTTATCATGCAGTATTTGAAAGATAGCATTCCAGTTAACTATTAGTAAGTGATATTTAGTGAAATGTGGAATAAGTAATACATCATTAAAGCGTTTCGCTTGTAGGAAGCTTTTGATGAAATGACATGTGGGAAGGAGGACTGGCATGTTGTTAAAATGTGGGATCATAGTGGAATTGAAAGCGTTGAAGTTGAAGGATAAAATGGATCCATTGGATTTTGCTAGTTGATCAACAATATTGTTAGAGGAGTCGTCTGCATGTGCTTTTACTTTGTTCATGTGTAAAGTAATGTTTTTAGCATGTAGTAAATTGAAAAATATAACCAAAGAGGATAATGATGGATTTTGTAAATGGGTTGTGTGAGGAGGAAGTGGCTAAGAAGAAACGAAGTTTGTGAAAGATATTTATAACAGAAAGAGAATCAGTGAAAATACAGACGGTTGAATGCGAAGGGGCAACGAATGTAGTGGAAATAATTGCTAATAACTCAGCTAAGGTTTAGGACAGATTATGTAGATAAAAGGAAGAGTGAAAGGAAATTGAAGGCCATTGTGGATTTATCTGCAACCAGGCTAAACCCATCTGGAGAGATGAGAGACCAAGATCTCTGAAAGAGCTATCTGTATAGAAGAATAAAGAGGTTGTGTTGGAAAGGTTAAGAGCTAAGTTAGTAAGTTGCGTCATTGAATCATTGTCAAAAATATAATAAGATTGAGGAAGTTCTATATATTGCGAAAGAGTAAAGAAGTTGTTAGCTGGATTAAGTAAATTTAGGGCAAGTTCATGTAACATAAGAGGAGATAAAGGACAAAGACGTCTAATATGATTTTCAGCTTTTATAGAGATTTTTGAACACAAATGTATTTGATTTTTAAAGCAACATAATAACCATCTCACAACATTTTTCTGTGTGACCTTGTAGATTGGTCATTAAGAAAACAGCTAAAACAGGGGTCTAAAATAGTACGAAACTGTTTATCAAACGTCATAATATAATGCTGAATATGTATAGTATCCTGCTCAATGAGGAAAATCTTTCCAACAGTTATTTAATTGAGGAGACCATAGCGTAATATAAGTGACTCCTTTAGTATCTGTTGACGGAGTAACTTGTTCAACATAACAATGGTGTTCTATTTGTAATATTGAGTGTATAGTATGTGTTTGAGGTTCAGCAAGAATGGTTGATTCAATGATATCAAATCATTTTGGCTGTTTCCTAAACTTGAAGGATCTTATATTATGAGAGAGATTACAAAACAGAAGTAAAAAACTTCCATTTGAAGTAGTAAGTTATGACAGGAATAGTAGTCCTATTTTTTGAAGATGATTGGAAAATTTCTGATATTCGAGTGGATTGATCAATTCCAAGATAGGTTTTATACCTTGTATAATATTGGCGTCCAAATCATAAGTAGTGAAGGAAAGATTCAGTAGTTTCATCGATGTTAATATTGAGGACCACCAGTCCTTAAAGAAAACCGGTGATGAGAAAGGCCAGGAGTTAAGGGGCAAGGATAGAAGCCATTCCTTTATTTGAAGTTGTAAGATACGAATCTTTGATATAATCCCAAGCAATCCAGAATTGTTGATCATCTTTTATAAGTTCGAAATCTTAGCTTATAATTGATGATCATATAACTGTGCTAAGTTAAAAATCTTTGAAGAGTGTATAATTGCGTTAGGGTACTGATCGATAAGTGTAAGACTGCTTTAAATATCTTACAGAAAGTTCTCATTAGAATGTCGCAGAAATTA